ACCCCTCAAAGACTGCTCTGCAGCAATATCTCTTCAACCCTAAAACCCCGGGGAGAAGGCATCAGAAGCAACTGAGAGCGAAACCTCGGCAGGAAAGTCAGTCACCAAGGCATCTACTCGGACCTCACAAAGTTGGGGATTTGAGCTTTAGTGGTTTTAGGGGTTTTAGGGGTTTTAGGGTTTAGGGTTTTAGGGTTTAGGGTTTTAGGATTTTAGGGTTTTAGGATCTAGGGTTTTAGGGTGTTAGAGTTCCAGGGTATAGGATTTAAGGTTTTAAAATTTTAGGGAGTTAGAGCTTTAGGGTTTAGAGTTTAGGGTCTTTGGGTTTTAGGGTTTAAGGGACATTGCTCGAAAAATGGGGCTCAGGAATTATTAGTGTTTAGGGCTTAAGTAGGGCTTTGGGATTAGGCTTCAGCATCTCATGCATGAACATTCAAGGTTTCGAGTTTAGGGCCTGGGGTCCTAACCCTTAGCGTTTAAGGTTAAGGGCAATTCCCTAAACCCTAAACCCTAAACCCTAAACCCAGTTTGTAACTGTACTTACAACCCAGTTACAACCAAAGAAAAGGCCTTACGGGATTATACTTAGTACCCGCTTGCGGCAAAAGATAAATTACCCTGGACTTCAGAGTATACGCCCCACCACACAGGCTTACGCCCTAAACCCCTAGAATACCGCCACACTCACACCCTTAGCCCGAAAACCCCTTAACATTAAAAACACTTAGATGGGCTAGTAGTTCTGCTTACAAGCCCTTCTAACCTTGTAAGCAAACATTTGACCGAAAAGCCCGAGAATACTATAGCCTAAACCCTATACAAAGCCTTTTCCCTAAACCCCAAAGCCCACCGTTAACCCTAAAACCGACACCCTAGAAACCTCTTAACTTTAACAACTCCCACCTCCATGCGCTGCTCCGGTGGCTTGGGTGCCTCCGCCATTCTCGGCAAGTCCACAACTGCCACCTTTTTGGGGGTTTAAGGCTTAGGGTTTTAGGTTTAGAGTGTAGGATTGGAAGTTTAGGTTTAGGGTGTATAGGCTTTGGGTGTCAGACTGGATTGAAGAGTTTTTGTTTTAGCAGGCCCTTTTCTATCCGCTGCCAGACAGGACGCCTTTACACGCGGGGCCAAGAGGCGCAGCCATCTATCAAACCAAGACCCAGTCAACACTCCCTGTGACCATGAGCGCTCAGGACCAAACGTACTACGTAAACCAAACGTACGTCGGACCTACAGAAGACTTTTCTAGGGCTTAGGCTACTGGAAAAGAAAATGGAAACTACAATAGTCTATTGGGGTTATATAAGGATAATGGAAAATAAAATGGAAACTGCTATTTAGGCTTTAGGGTTCAGGGGCTTAAGGTTTTGGACGGTACTTTGGTCTTTGAATGTAGACCATCCAAGCACTCCTCAGTGCAACGATCCGAAAAACACAACTTTGAAAAACCTTACCTACCAATAAAACTGAAGCATAACGAAAAACATTGCGTTTTTCCTTTCTCACCGCAAAAGAAACCCACATGTGTCTCTCTTTCTCGCCTCCTCTGTTCGTGCCCAGGGGGAGTTGCTGACCTTGCCCAAGCTCGCAAGCACATTATGGACAAAACGTTTAGCACATTATGTCGGGATGCATGTAAACATCCCAAGTTGAACACTGAAAACAACTAACATACAAATTTCTCCGAGCGGCCACGGGCGAACTGGTTGCCAGTGCTGCATGCCTAGAGGCCACATCTGCGGCCCGGGCGTAGACAAAGCGCAACGTTGCTTGAACGAGGTCCTTCAAGGCGGCATCCTCGCTCGGGGAAGTGCCCAAAGCTTCTTGTGCGACGGTACGCTGCGCCAAGCGCGAACCAACTGTAGGCTCCCGAGAGCTTGGAAACTCTGCCGCCTGTGAAACCTTAGTGGGAACCGATGGAATCAAGAAACATTAACATTGTGTCTTGGCTACTGCCCCCACCAAGCAATATTCAGGGCTACATAGCAAAATCACATTATTTCTATTTGGCATCCCTTCCTGAGTCGTCGGCCTAAGGCCCAAAGCTCGTAACCGGGCTGCTGGATGCCCGCCCAAAGGGTTCATTAAGGTTTAGGGCAGAAGCTTTACAAAAGGAAGCTGGTGATTCTGAGTAAGGGATTACAATAGCACACACACCCCCCCCCACAAGGTATCCATCCCATATTTAGAACCCTAACCCTATTAGGCCTTATTAAGCCCTATATACTCCTTATTACCTCCTAAATCCCTGAAAGGGTGCCTTTGGGGGGATACTATTGTAACCCCTTACTGAGATTGGAGTAACATCCTTGCCACTGTGTAAGTAGATAGGATAACTAGATAGAAGATGGCTCTGGGTATATTGCAATAAGATCCCCATATACCCCATATTCTAACCCTATACAACCCATGATAGTAGCTTCCATTTTCTTTTCCATATCCCTAAATAACCCCAATAATATACCCTATATTCTGTCCACTTAGGGGGACTATACCCTACACCCTAAACCCTATCTTCTATCTACTTAAGGGTGACTATACGTCGTCAAGCCAACTGGCGGCCATCAACCCTAAACCCTAAACCCTATCCCGAGCTATCAAGGCCAAACCCATCCGAATCTATGCCACGCTCGTATGGTAAAAGCCCCCGTCGACCCCACAAAACAAGGGTTGCTTTAGGGTTTAGAGTTTAGGGTTTCGGGTTTAGAGTTTAGGATGCTGAGTTTAAAGTTTAGGGTTTCGGGGTTAGAGTTTGGGATGTAGGGTCTAGGGTCAGCCATGCCCCACGTTTTCTGTCAACGTTCTTGGTTTGCCTCCCGTATCAAGGGGGCTTAAGGTTTTAGGGGTTTTGGGCTTAAGGATTCGTAGATTCCAAGAACTGGGACTGGAATTTTGTCCCATCAATACGAGATGCAGTATTTCTGGAGCCTATATCGGGCTCCGTCTATTTATGATTTTCACGGAACCTACCATATCATGCTTCAGGGCTCAAATTTTCCAGGGCATCTAGTTACAAGATTGAAATTCCCCGTGTAGCTCGTTCAGAACACATGCACCGATGCTTCTTGCGAAGATGAGTTGAGAACTTCGCATAACCCATCCCTGTAGCCATCTTCAAAAGACCCTGTCCCATTCACACGCGCACGGCTCATCAAAATAGAACCCTAAGAAGGAAGAGCCTCATAGAGAGAGAGACAAAAAGAGAGAGAAAGCCAAATAGGACCCGGGTCTAAGAACTACTGGACATGAAGAAACCACAAGAAGGGTCAAAAAGCTTGCAGACAGCCCACTGCATGCGAGGTGAATTCCTCTGCGCTGTTGGCACTCTGAAGCCCAGCTGCCGTCCTTTAAACCGGTTTGGAGTCTGGGGTTTCTGGAAGGATTCATGGATTGTCACAAGTCTGGACATGGCAAACTTGCCTGACTCACGGCCTTCGCTGTCTTGGGTATAACATCTTTCTAAACGAACTTCCAACTTGTAACTAACCCATCGACAGTTAGGATGCACCATCCAAAGGCAATTCCCCTGAACATGATGCTAAGCTAACCCTTAACTGCGCACCCTAAACTTGCAGCACTTTCTGAGCAAGTATCTTTGAATGGCTTCAGGCCTTTAATTTTTTGAATGACCAGGAGAGGCTCAGGTTTCAGGCTTTGGGCTTTTGGCTTCCGATGGAGGCGCTCGCAGCATTTGATGTGCACAGTTTTCACAGGAAAGCTTGAGCTCCAGTTGTCTTAAGTAAGCATGACCCGGGCTTAAGGTTTAGTTGAGGGTTTAGGGTGTCCAACCTCTCCGGTAGCACGCTACCAGTGTTTGAAGTTACTCGTGCCATCGACATAACAATAGGTCTACACTTGGGGGGGGGGCCCCATGGCTTGTGTGTAAACAGGCAAAGGACCCTCTTTAAGCGTCCACTGCTCCAACCTTACCAAATATGTCATCAAGCTTTGATGCTACCGAAAATCTCACAACCTCACACCACGAACCAAATCCCCAAACCCTAGACCCTAACTCCTAAACAGTAGTTTCCATTTTATTTTCCAGTATCCCAATAATACCCCTAGATACTCCCCTATAGAGCCTAAACAAGTGTGCGCTGGATATCCAACTCCCCTCATTCACAGTGTCCTCAGCTGTTGCAGCTTCAAAAGGAGGAGACGCTGCTCCTGTCTTCTTGAAATTCTTGTTTTTTGTAACGATCCTTTTCGCGGTGCAGGAAACAGCCCTCTGGGCTGAGCGAAATTCGGATTAGGGTTTAGGATTTGGGGTTTGGGCGTTGGGGCTTGGGATCTAGGTTTAGCTAGGGTTTGGTTTGGAGTTTGGGGTTAAGGTATGTCCGGAACCCCAAACCTTAAAGCCTAAACCCTGAGCCCCGATCTCAAAGCCATGGACCTCTTGTGGCCCCACGGCTTGACAGGTTTAGGGTTTAGGGTTTAGGGCTTTACAGTTGAGAATGTGGGAAAGTGTTGCCATCTTGTAGGGCTCAGGATGCTTTAGGGTTTAGAGCCTTAGTCTTTGAGGCCGATTTTTTAAACGGCGTTCAGTTTTCCGTGATTATGGCTTAGGGAAGTTCTTTGAGGGCTTTAGTTTTCGTTTAAGGTTAAGGGTCCAGGCGGATAAGGCTTTTGGGTTCATCACTCAGGGTTTGAAGTTTGAAGGTATTAAGAGTGTAGGTGTGCAAAATTTCAAGCTCCCCCGTTCGCTGGAGGCCTCTCTAAACATGTTCCTCCAAAAGATTAGCCTTCCTAATTGCAATCGGGCCCCTAAACCCTAAACCCTACACCCTGAACCCTACTGTACGATCACTAAAGTCGTGCCTCACGAAGGGATTCATGATGTCCGGAAACTCCCCAAGCCCTAAACCTCTTTTATCTCATCTTTCCCTTTGTTCACCTTCTCGCGACCTCCAAGCCCCTTAACCCTAATCCCTAAACCCTAAACCCTAAACCCTAATCCCTACACCCTTTCTAAAAGACAAGGGGGCTCCTCCGTTGCCCGATCCATCCTCTCCCGGTGCTCCACATGCAGAGCCTCGACTGCAGACAGTGTAGGTTTTGGGCTTTAGGTTCAGTGTTTAGGGTTTAGGGTTGAGGGTTTGCCGTTGGGGATTTAGGTTTTAGGATTTGGGATTTAGGATTTGTGGTTCAGACTTTAGAGGACAGGGTTCAGCGTTGGAGGCCTGAGCCTCATCCCCACAACCCTCCCTTTTTGACGAAGTTATCTGAACCTTTTTTTCTTCGAATCTTGATAAGAAAAACTCCTGGGCGCGAGGCGTCGCTTTTTTTGCAGAATGGAACGCAGGGCAAACAGGAAGTATAGTTGCCCTGAAGTAGATGGAATATGGGGTATATGGGGATCTTAATATAATATACCAAACCATATTCTATCTACTTAAGGACTATAGGTGGGGTGCAGGGGAGGGGGGGGAGACGATGTAGAGATTTGACATGAACGTGCTTTCAGCTGGGCACCCCGCACTTTACGGGCAAAAACGTAGTGAAAGCCTAGTTTCACCCTAAACCCTAAAACCTAAAACCCTGAAACCCTGCCCTGCACCCTAAACCCTAAACCCTAAATAGTAGCTTCCATTTTCTTTTCCATGATTCCTATATAGCCCCCATATTACCCAATATTAAAACCTAAAAACTCGCCTCCTCTGCTTCCTGCAGTGTTCTTGGGGAGGAAGGATCAAGCATCGAGGCTGCTATCTGCCTATCCTCGCGCTGCTGGATACACTTCTTTTCCTGGGCTGCTGTTGGGGTTGCAGGGTTTAGGGCTTAGGGTTTAAGGCTTATGATCATATAGATACATCCAAGTTTCCATCAATTCCGGGACCCCAATTTAGACCCCAAATACGATAACCCTCACTATGGGGACCTCGACATAAGGATCCCCATTGTCCATCCATATAGTAGATGACAAGGCTTCCTTATGGAAACCGTAATCCTTGCAAACCACTTTATGATCCTGGTGTCTACTTTGTTTGCCTCTTCTTTTGCATGTGATTTTCCGTTATTGGGCACCCAAAGCCCTAATCTCTAAACCCCTAGACCATAACCCCTACATCATCCTCCCCAAACCCTGATGCCTAAATACAAATTCTTTAAAATACACCCAGCTTCTGCCACCTGCGCATCCAGGGCTGCCTTGTACTGCTGCTGCTTCTGCCTTGAGGCATCGTCCAATGTTGATCTCACAGAACCTCGGGGCAATAACCCAAATTCAAAAGGAAAAGAAAGTAGAAAACGAAATGGAAACTGAAATTATGGTGGTTTGTAAGGGTCAGAGTTTCCACTCAAAGTCCGACTGTGGCCTCCCTTGGTATCAGCTAGGGGAACCCCCAAAAAAAGTTACCAAGGGCTCCAGGAACTATCTGGCCGAGATGGTGGTGGGAGCGGGAAGGCAACTTGGCTCTGGTAGACCTGAGGTAGCCGCCTTCTGGGTAGCTGGTGGTTGGATGCTGGGCTTTTTTGGGGCGGTAGGGACCCACCCATGGCTGACACGAGCACGCGAAGGCCCATCACGGGCCTCTCTTCCTCCCCACTCTCGGCTGCCGGCCCCAGCTCGCCCTCAGGGAAGAAAGCACGTGCCTCACGTTCTGAGCCTCCAAAATATTTCTCTGTACTCAAGTGGCAGGCTGACTCTTCGGAAGCAACAATGGCACTGTCCAAAATCCGCAACTTCTGGGGAAGCGTGGCGAGTACAGACCCCACAGACTGCAACACCTCAGGAGGGCGTCCATCAGGAAGAGTCTCACTCTTCGAAGCCTCACCTTTTACCCGCATGCTGAGGCTTTGTAGAAAGGGCTGCATGGAACGTTGCAGGATCCACAGAGGTATCAGGTCGGTTCGAGTGTTTCCTTTCTTCAGTGTGCGGCTGCAAGCTTGCCAGGGCAGCAACG